GTTGATCACATAATGTAACGCAGTAACGCACCCATTTAAATCACAGTAACTGATGCAGTTACTGAATGGGAATAGTTAACTAGTAACGTTATTAGTTACCGCAAAAGGTAGTTGTGTGCGTTAGTTTATAAACACTGGTAAACACACACCTGATCACCTGAGAGTTTGCCGTTTCATTCAGACTGTTTAAAAAAAAAACGGTCTGATTTTAACAACTCAATGTGTGATTGTTATAGCAGTAATATTAGACACTAGTAATACAGTAAACTATTAACACTGTACATATTATTGTTTGCCCGTGGGATTAGGATTATCGGTAGTGAGAGCCGTGCTGCATTTTCCTCTGGTCGGATGTGATATAAAAACAAAGCGATTATTTTTGTTATTGTAAACTCACTTGGATTAAACTACATGTATTAGTGCATTCATTTCAATTTGCGAACATATGATACATTAAATGATCGTGAGGATGATGATTGAAAATCGTTTGTTTGAGCCGGGCTGCATTTCCTGATGAAAAAACATAGCGATGGTTTTGTACTTACGCCTACGTGAATTAAACAACATTATTTTGTTAAATAAAAACATGGTGATGTTTAGTAAATGATTACATGTCTCTTATTTAGCACAGAATATGATCCTATCCGTGACATATGGATCTTAACAAATATCCGCTATATCAGATACCAGTAGATCTATCAGCTGTTTATTTCACATGAGTTCCAGTGTGGCAGCTTTTCACGGCTCCCCTGGTGGATCCATGATCCATTGCAGCTGGTTTCATTAAAATTACATTTATTTATCAAGGGGCGTATCAAGTCCTGCGGGGGGGTTTTCCTTTTCAGCAGGGGCCCACCCCGTGCAGATCACGGACCCGCACGGGTAGGTGTCTGAAATGAAGCGCTACAGCTGTTCATTGTCAAGATATTGTTGTCATAGGCCTAGTAACTAATTCACCAGCACTTACTACGGTATGACTTGCTTGAAGTTAATTTATCTGCACTTTCCTTGTTGTTTGGAGTTCAAATCACCATGGTATCTGCCCATATTGTAAGTCGCTTTGGATAAAAACGAATCCGAAAGAAAACTGAAAAAGATGCCATGGACACAGGGTCTTTGTATATATATCACAGTATATATCAGTAAACCAACATTGAAATAAGTTATTCTTACTGGCCACCTGGAACCAACTCACACAGACACACACACTCACACAGGGTACCTCCGTCCAGGCTGCGTGAGTTCCTCTTGCTGGAGGAGCGCTGGAACATGGGGGCCGGTCTGTCGATCAGGGAGCTGGCCTGGCGGGTCTGGGCCTGCGTGCGCCCGCTGTACCGGAACTTGGAGCCCAACGCCAGGAACTTCCTGGGCGTGGTGACCATCTCCGAGGAGGTCAGCCTGCACACCAACATCACATAATCATCCTTTAAATCTGACTTTGGAATGAATGCAACCATACAAATACCTCAGGACAATTATTGATAAAATTGGAGCCGTGTGCAAAAGGGGCACCAGTGTTTGTTCTCTCTTAGGAAACTCTCCTATTTTAAACCATGATAATCATGTTTTATCATGCTTTTATTGAGTAAATTCTGTTTTTTTCTCTAATAGGCGCTTTCACACCAAGTACTTTGCCGTACTTAGTTCATCAGAACTCTTTAGTTCTGATGAAATCAGAAATGGGAACCTTTTTCTCCCATGAACTAAATTCTAGTTCCGGATTTTTTTGGTGTGAACGCACCTTTTCGGAACTATATCGGAACTATACTGGGAAAAGTATTGCGGTGTGAAAGCGCCTATTGTCATCGTTTGGTCACCTGTCCTTAACAAGCAGAAACTCTCTCACTCAGATCATAAATTGGTCTAGGACTAGGTGAGCCACAGCTAAACCTGGAGACCCTGAACTTCAGGCCGTTACAGCGGTTATCCAGCTCTATGTTAAATTATGACCCCCCCCTCTAAACACAGAATTCAAGGTTCTTCCTTCAGGCCGGAGGTTAGTAGTCCCAAAGTGTAGAACTTAGCATTTAAAAAAAAGCTTTGTTCCAGCAGCCATCGCAGAAATTGACTAATTCACACAGTTGCTATGGTCACAATGACTATTTATTTATGTATTCATTAACTTTCTGGATTGTTCATGTTTATACTACTGGTTTTTAAATGTTGTCAGATGTGACGGAGAAGGGGATAGTTTATTCGAGATTTGCCTTGTCGTCTGTGTTGTTTTGGAATGTATGTTGTTTTGGAATGTATCATAATGGATCCCTTTTCTTTTACCTGCAAAACAAACTTACATACGGTTCAAATATATAACCTGAACCTGAAATATGTTCTGCCTTACCCAATTTCCACAGTTGACCCCTGAAACACTGGACAGCCATGAGAAAAAACTTTCAGAACTCAGTCACCTACCTGAAGAAGGTGTGATGTTCCACACACACTTTCCACAGCTTCTTGGCTGCCTTGTAAGTGGGCAGTTTGAAGCCAATCGCACTCTCATACTGCTCCACCTGTTGGAACACAAACATGCTTAGAAGATGACTCATCAAATCAGATGTGAGTACTCATGGATGAGCTGCAGATGTTCTGAATATGTATTGATGTGATAATGCCGTGTACCTCGGATGGTCTAATTTTTATGAAGAAGCTGCTGCGTTTGTAGGACACCTTGAGGACTTTGGGCCAGGGGAACCGGTTGATCCTCAGCTTGTCTTTGTAGACCATCAGACCATTGGAGCAGACCCCCAGCATGATGTCAACCCCATCCAGATCCTGCAAGAGGCACAGGGAGGGTTCAGTTAGACTCTTTCAGCAAACCAACTACACAACCATTGGGATTCAGCCTCAAAGGGGGGGGGCTCCAGTTTCGAGAATGTTTTAATGTGTTTGTAGTATACAGGGATGCAAACACAGGTATGGTGAAAAAAGAGAGAACTATTCGAAGCAGAAAAAAAACAGCGTAATATACCATCTGACAAAGGCCTGCGCTATAATGCTTCAATGAACTGGCTATTC